AGATGGAGGGAACTGCTGCTTTAGTAGCCTGGAATGCTGTATTACATGCTTGCCAATTCCGCAGGGAACAGCAGAGCCAGGTGAGCTGGTTGGCTGGCAGCCTGCCGAGAGGGGGGCGAACCGGCTTGAAAGCTGAGACTGCCCTGAGCAAACCCAACCAACGCCTTACCAGGGAGCTGAAGGTCCAGCAAGGATCTCTACAGCACACCGCCGGGTGCAGTAAGGAGAGCGACGCGGACCAGCGGGTGGAGCTCCCGTTTCAGAGCCATCGTTTGCAAAAGCATCTGGGATCCTGCTTTGCAGAGTCACTGCGTTTTCAGAGGGGCTGAGCACTCGCAGCTCCCCTTGGCCTCCGAGGAGCTGTGGTACTTGGCAGCTCTGAAGACCAGACCCCAGGAGTCTCAAGGTGGCCTCTCGCCCTCCCCTAGTGCAGTCAGTGGCCCCCCTGGCAAATTTCAGGCCTGCCGGTCAAACCCTAATGAGGACTTCGGGCTTTGGACTAGCAGCTTGTCTGTGCCCTGCTGCACAGTGAGTCACTCTCGTGGCGCATTTGCCTCGCTGGGGTACAAACTGCATAGTGGGATGAGGAGTTGCCCGGGGATGGGGCATATTGAAGATTAATCTGCTGCCGAGAGCTGAGCTAGGCAAGAGATGGGGCACCGCAAAGGTTTCCGAATAGAGTTAACCCTTTGTAGCTCTGAGCCAGACGTGAGTGCTCTTCCTTTGTAGAGTGCAGTTACAGGTATGTGATCTCACCAAGCTCACATAGGAATGTATGGCTTATTAGTCATTTGCCTAAGGCTGTTAGCATGCCCGGTGCTTTGCAAGCAATAAACTAAGAAACTTCCCTTGCACCAAAGAGCTTACACCTTAAGGGGCTGTTCCTGCTAACACTTTCTGCTAGGCATACAGCTTTGTATGGTCTGGGTGTGTAGGCTACATGGGTAGAAGCTGACGACCTGGGTTCTCTTCCCAGCACTGCCCTTGTGTGGCTTGGTGTTTGAACTTGGGCAAGTCACTGAACTGCTCTGTGCCTCAGTTTTCCCTCTGTGAACGAGGCAATGATTTGGACCCTCTTTGGTAAAGTGGCTTAAGAGCCACAGATGAAAAGTGCTATGGAAGTGCTAGGTATGTGCCACTCTGTCCGATGGTCCCGAGCAGGACTATATCTGAGAGTGTTTGCAGGGTGAAACACTGAAAACAACGAGCAGCCGTGTGGCTTCTGAGAGACTTACAAAAATATAGATAGTAACATGAGCTTTTGTGGACAACACCCACTTCATCAAATGAGCTGGGTTGGAAATAACAGGAACTCACAATTTATAACAGAAAAAGAAAGGGAAAGGGGAAAAAAAAAGTACCTGTCAATTGTAGGACCGATGCTAGGGAAGCTAGTTAAGTGGTCTGGAGTGCTATGAGTTGTTCCAGAGGTGTATGTCATGTTATTACATGAAAAACAAACCCACGTTAGCTCAGTTCTCATGGTTTGATCTCACTCACAGCTCTTGCTTATTCGTCTTGCTGATCTAGACAAGCTTTCCTGCTCAGGGGATAGGGTAGGCTCATTTCTTTGCCAAAGAGAGTTGGAACGGCAGGGGGACCGTGGCAGCAGGTGGACTGGCAGTCATGGCGTACACCTCAATGGTGCGTGGCAGGAAGGCAGGTAACTGTGCCGGAGAGCCAGGTCAGTTGGCGAGACAAGAACAGACCCATGCGGAAGAGAGATCCCTTAACTGCGATTCCAGAGTAACCTGGGTCTCTCCAGGAGACTGTAACAACAGGTGCATTCTTCTGTGCTGTCCCTTTTATTTGTTCACTCGCTGTCTTTGTTTAGAGCTATGTCCTGAAGACATGGGACACCCCAAGATCAGGAATAGACGTTGTCCCTATTTCCTTTAGTCCTAGAACGTAGCAACTTTGGGCCAGTTTTTGCTTTGGGATTCTAACAGCACCTTCCACCAAAACTACCTGCACACAGCCCAAAGCAGAGCGTGGCTCCTCGCCTCAAATGCCACGTGGGCCACACAGACTGTCCCAGCGCTAGCCACTCCTGAGCTTCAGGCCACTGCGGCTATGAATTGTCAGCACACTTTATTGGTAATTTGCTGTTTGTTTCTCAAAGCCAGTGTGCCGTTCACGCTGCCCTTGTCCTGCTGGGTACCTGTTTGTGTACAATGTAAAATAAAAGCCCTTGAGGAATGAGGCTGGATGTGTCTCCCTCTGAGCTGTTGTCTTTATGTAAAATGCCCTCGTCCTTACACACAATAAAGGTGATCCCACCAATCTTCACCCCACGATTTTTATAATTTTTAGGCATCGTAATCTACACACACACACACACACACACACACACACGGCCTGCAAAAATATAATAATTTTGTGCTGGGAGTGACATGCGGAGCTGGGTATTTAACTGCTCATGTAGCTAGAGACTGGGAGAAAGAATGGTCTGGTTCTTCAGTGTATCTTTGAGCGACCTCACATGTAAGTCGATTTGGGGGACAGTATCTTAGCCATCCTCCGTATTCATGGAACAGGGAAGTGACTGACTAGTCGACAGGCTAGTGAACTGGTCGCTTCCCCCCTCCCCACTGCTGCCTCTATCAGAAAGAGGCAGCGGGGGTGGGGGGAGAGGAAGAGTACTTCAAAGCGGTAGCACTGTGTGGAGCCTGGGTCCAGACCCTGCGCTCCACGGGGCACTGCCGCTTTGAAATGCCACAGGGAGTCCAGCGTCAGGCTTCCCATGGCATTTCAAAGTGTCAACACCGCAAGGAGCCCGGGGCCAGCGGGAGGAGTCCCCAGTTGATCCCAAGCTCCACTGGGCGCTGCCGCTTTGAAATACTGCGAGGAGCCTGACATCAGACTCCCCGTGGCATTTCAAAGCGGCAGCACCCCACGGAGCCTGGGGTCAGCGGGTGAGTCCCCAGCTGACCCCGGGTTCCATGCGGCGCTTTCACCTTTCAAGTGTAGCGACAGGGATTAGTCAGTTACTCACAATTTAACATCCCTATCGTGGAGCAGTGCCAGCGTACAGGGCGGAGGGTCTGGCTCCCTGTACAAGGGTGAGCAGAAAGGCTGGTGCGCCCTTTGGCTTTTGTGACCGCCTTTCTGCACGGAGATGAGTTTCTTCCGGTTTGTAAGTAGGCCTCATGCCAGGCACAGCTTGGGTCTCTCCCCTTCGGAGTCAGCGAGCCCCCCTGGGGAGAGCCCCGCTCTTCGCCTGCTGTTAGGAAATGAGGTCCCTGTGTATTCCCTGCTGCACAGAAGCATTCTTCCTGGGCACAGATGCTTTGTTTCTTAATTGGCATTTACAGCTTTAAAACACAACCCCCCAAATGACTCCCCAGGCTCTCCCGGAGAATGCTCTGAAAATCAGACCCAGAACCGTGGTGTTATCCTGCCTTTGCTTTCCTTCGCTGCAGCCCTTTGTCAGTCATTTCCCCCCAAAATGAGTGTCCCTCCCCTCCTTGGAGAGCTCCCACATCCCCCACTCAGTCCCCCCAGTCTGCCCTGGGCTCCGTGGAAAATCTGGCATGGATTCCCTGGGGCAGTCTCTTCTCTGATGATGGTTCCAAAATCAGGGTTAGGAGGAAGGCAGTACAAGGGCATGAATGGGACCGGGTGGGTCAGTGGCATGTACCGACAGTGTCGTGTCCTGCCATGGGACTCTTGTGGGCTGGGGGATAAGTCACCATACACCACCCTGCTTTCGTGATTCTCTGGCGTGACTCTGTTGCTGCAGATGTGGCTTGGGACGGCCCTTCTCCGCTGTCCCTTCCTGCTGCCCTGTGTTTGGGGCAGTGCCTCCTGGGAATTCTGGGGGCCTCTCCCATGGGGTGACGTCCCCAGAGAGCTTTGCTAGGCCGGCTTTGTCCCCAGTGGTGCTAGGCCAGGTGTGTCTCCCTCTGAGCTATTGTCTGTATGTAAAATGCCCTTTCTGCAAAATTGGCAAAGCGGTTCCCCAGGTGTGACTTTATGCAGCACATGGGGCAATGCATTCTGGGCTGGCATAGGACACCGGGAGCCAGGAGGTCGGAGGATGGGCTAAACCTGTCTAGGGATGTAATAGTGTAGTCAATTAACCGATAAGCAAAAGTGTATAGGTTAATGCTATAGACTACACGCATTCGCCCACCCCACCACCACCGGTACATTTTGTAGCAGGCTGGCCAGCGGCCTGGCTCAGTCCTGGCTTGCACTGAGTCCAAGACCTACCCCACTGCAGCTCTGCATTTAAAGTATATTAGGAGCTGGGTGGGCAGGCAGCCAGCTAGCTCAGTTTGGACTCACTCCGGGTCCGGGAGCTTAGATCTGCCCCTCTCCTCCCCACCCCCCGGTAGAGGCTGATGCCACCCTGCGCTGCTGCCTCTTTATCAGAGGCAGCAGCACAAGGCGACAGGCAGCCAGTCCACGAAGGGAGCTGGTTTTAAAACTGGTGCCCCAGACCAGCTCCCACCCGGCACCCCAGAGTGCAGCATGTCAGGGGGCTCCTCAGGAGTGAGGCTGGAGCACTCTGGCTGCTGGCCCTGCCCCCGGGGACTATGGAATAGTCGACTAACCGATAATAATTAATGAGGTTACGTGACTACTCAATTAACGGATATTTAACATCCTGCCTACAAAGCACAAATTGAACAGTGAGTGGAATGGCTGCTCCAAGGCG